AGTTTCAATACACTCTAAAATCACTCGAAACAAGTGCGTGCTGATGAAAGAAATTTTTGGAAAAGCATTTAGAATGATCAATACTCTTGTAAAAGTAAGTAGAATCTTCATAAAAAAATAATTTCTTAATTAAAAATTTTATTACCTTCTATTAAGAATTATCGTAAAATTTCCAAAAATATTTGTTAGATATTGATTATCATTCCAACTCATTCCCTCCTAGATAATAAGTCTAATTAATGAGTTTCTATTCAAAAAATAATAATTTTAGTTATAAACTTACTTTTATAATGACTTTATATCACTCTATTGCTTGATACATGACAGATATCACAAATATATTAGCATTAGACGGAAGTCCTTAATGATTTTTTAATATGGTTTTTAATCATTTTTAAATGTGGCAGCCCATTCCGACAATACAGAGTGTTCCACGTACGCATACCATTAAGTTTCCATTAAAACCAAATGCGGTCTGATTTTTATTTTGTGACAAAAGTTATACAGTATGTTTAAAATTAACGTACACTATCATCATTTAATTAAATATTAATTATTTAACCGACTGGCAACATCATGTAATAAGCAATACTTATAGCTTTTCGTAACTTCCTTGTGTAATCTTTAAACGTATATGGGCATCTAATACAGGTTTTTTCTCAAAGTAGCGAAAACGTTTCCAGCGAAAGTTATTTGTTTGGGTTCGCTTAAAAGTTTCTTTAAAGGAATGTGTACCTATTGAAATTCATACGGTAACTACATTGAAAATTTGTATAGCGGATGTTTCAATTTATTTGCGAAGAATTTAAATAGAAATCTATTCATTTTTAAAGCCTTACTTTGCGAATTCGTACGTAAATCTCATCTACAAACATACCAATTATTTGTCATAAAATTACGGTAGGAAAAGACAATACGAACGAAGTGAATAGCAGTAAAAATCCTGTCATTCATTAAAAGACTTCGGCTAAACCCACAACAGTCTCCTTTATATTTTATTTGTAATAAAAGAGAATGAACTATTACGTATAATTTTGTAATTTCATTAAATTTTGGTTTAATATTTGTCACTCCTTTACCTACCTATATAAACGCGATAGGTAATATACTAAATTTATACATCTATTAATAATGTTGTAATTGACACAATTTAATTAATTAAGTTCTTAAAAGCTTTAATAATACGCTCAGCATAATATTTGAAATTCTGATTATAATATTTCACTTCATTTCAAAATTGTTACATTACAAAATATACTTTATTTAATAATGACAAATTTACGCACAGGCTCGTTTAGAATTTCATCATATAGATATATAATTTCAATCATTACTCTATACCTATATATATACATATATAATAGTCATACCCATATGCATATGTACTTTAAGTGTTAATTAGTCAATATGGAGTGAAAGTAAAATCACCTGGAGTTGTCGATTGAAACTGATTCTTAATGTCTAATTTATTCCAGAAATAATCAATGAATTTGTTTACGGATATCCTGTTGTTCCTTCTTCTGGTTTCCCAAGTCAATTTGGCACCAGAAGTTACCAACAACAAGGTACGTAACATAAGCTATATGAGTAGCTTTCTAATGGTTCTAATGATTTACTTGCAAATAAATGAGTTTTAAATTAAAACAAATTAGGCAACTACCAAA